GAGTCCGGCTCACTGCTGGCAATGCGGACTAAGCTCTGACACCGGTTGTACAGGGACCGAACAGCCCTTATAAGGCAGTCCGGCACCCCGTACTCCCGGAGCACTCCCCACAGGACTGCCCGAGGGACGCAGTTGAATGCCTTCTCCAAGTCCACAAAGCACATGTAGACTGGTTGGGCAAACTCCCACGCACCCTCCAGGACCCTGCCGAGAGTATAGAGCTGGTCCACTGTTCCACGGCCAGGGCGAAAACCACACTGCTCCTCCTGAATCCGAGGTTCGACTATCTGACGGACCCTCCTCTCCAGCACCCCCAAATAGACCTTACCAGGGAGGCTGAGGAGTGTGATCCCCCTGTAGTTGGAACACACCCTCCGGTCCCCCTTCTTGAAGATGGGGACTACCACCCCGGTCTGCCAATCCAAAGGCACCGCCCCCGATGTCCACGTGATGCTGCAGATGCGTGTCAACCAAGACAGCCCCGCAACATCCAGAGCCTTGAGGAACTCCGGGTGGATCTCATCCACCCCCGGGGCCCGGCCACCGAGGAGCTTTTTAACCACCTCAGCGACCTCTGCCCCAGAGATAGGTGAGTCCACCCCCAAGTCCCCAGACTTTGCTTCCTCATTGGAAGGCGTGTCGGTGGGATTGAGGAGGTCTTCGAAGTATTCCTTCCACCGACCCACAACATCCTGAGCTAAGGTCAGCAGTGCACCATCCCCACCATAAACAGTGTCGATGCTGCACCGCTTTCCCGTCCTGAGACGCCAGATGGTGGACCAGAATCTCCTCAAAGCCGTCCGGAAGTCATTCTCCATGGCCTCGCCAAACTCCTCCCATACCCGAGTTTTTGCCTCAGCGACCACCAAAGCTGCGTTTCGCTTGGCCTGCCGGTACTCATCAGCTGCTTCCGGAGTTCCACAGGCCAAAAAGGCCCGATAGGACTCCTTCTTCAGCTTGACGGCATCCCTCACCGCCGGTGTCCACCAGTGGGTTCAGGGATTGCCGCCGCGACAAGCACCGACCACCTTACAGCCACAGCTCCGGTCAGCCGCCTCCACAGTAGTTCTGCCGGAGGTAGGAGTTGAAACTCCCTCTGACATGGGATTCCGCCAGACGTTCCCAGCAGACCCGCACTATACGTTTAAGATCTGCCAGGTCTGACCGGCTTCCTCCTCCACCAGTGGAGCCAACCCACCACCAGGTGGTGATTGGTTGACAGCTCCACCCTTCTCTTCACCCAAGTGTCCAATACATGTGTCGCAAGTCCGATAACATGCCCACAAAGTCGATCATTGAACTGCGGCCTAGGGTGTCCTGGTGCCAAGTGCACATATGGACACCCTTATACTTGAACATGGTGTTCATTATGGACAATCCGTGACGAGCACAGAAATCCAACAACAGAATACCACTCGGGTTCAGATCAGGGGGGCGTTCCTCCCATTCACGCCCCTCCAGGTCTCACTGTCATTGCCCACGTGAGCATTGAAGTCCCCCAGCAGAACAAGAGAGTCCCCGGGAAGAGCGCTCTCCAACACCCCTTCCAAGGACTCCAAAAAGGGTGGGTATTCTGAACTTCCGTTTGGCACATAAGCGCAAACAACAGTCTGGACCCGTCCCCCCACTCGAAGGCGAAGGAAGGCTACCCTCTCATCTACTTCGGTAAACCCCGATGTACAGGCGCCCAGCCAGGGGGCACTCCAACTCTCCGCCTCTCCCCGTGAGCGACTCCAGAGTGGAAGAGGGTCCAACCCCCTTCGAGGAGACTGGTTCCAGAGCCCAAGCCGTGCGTCGAGGTGAGCCCGATTACATCTAGTCGGAACCTCACAGCCTCGTGCACCAGCTCAGGCTCCTTCCCCACCAGAGAGATAGCTTCTGCAGCTGAGGATCAGACCACCAAGATCCCCGCCTTTGGCCACTGCCCAACTCACACTGCACCCGACCCCTATGGCCCCTCCTACAGGTGGTGAGCCCATTGGAGGGGGGACCCACGTGCCTTGTTCGGGCTGTGCCCGACCAGGCCCCATGGGTGTAGGCCTGGCCACCAGGCGCTCGCCATCGAGCCCCACCCCCAGGCCTGGCTCCAGGGGGGGGCCCCGGTGACCCGCGTCCGGGCAAGGGACATCGTGGATCAATGTTTATACTCATCATCAGGGATCTTGTGAGCCGCACTTCATCTGGTTCCTCACCCAGGACCTGTTTGCCTTGGGTGACCCTACCAGGGGCTTAAAGCCCCGGGCTACTTAGCTCCTGGGATCATTGGAACACGCAAACCTCTCCACCACTATAAGGTGTCGGCTCCAGGAGAGGATCAATTATTGTATTGTATTCATTTAATGCACAATGGGGTAATACATTAATGGGTTAATAGCCCCAAAACCAAATGACACCATCACACACATCCAGTAAAGGGTGCATTGAACTGTAACAGTTATTAACTAAGGTTAATTAAGATAAAATACAGACAGACAAACAAAAAATGCCTCGTTGGCTGCATGCCTTCTATTTTCTTTTAAGTAACTTCCATCTCTTTAAGTCTGTGGGACTAAAAGTATTTTAACGATGTCCATGCTTACCGTGCTGTTGTGAGTCTTTTCTTTCGCAAGAGCAGCCCGACAAGAATCGAAAGTTATGCTAAGCCAGCAGTGCGATTACTTATACAAAATAAAATAATGTATACTTAGAGGAGAATCCAATGAAGTGCCTCGGAAAGTGGTTTGATGACTTGCTTACTGACAGGAATAACATCGTCAGTATGGAGAAGCAGATGGAGGAATGGCTGAGGAGGATCGAAAAATCAGGGCTCCCGGGGAAGTTTAAAGCATGGCTCTATCAACATGGACTGTTGCCAAGACTCATGTGGCTGCTGACTGTGTATGAAGTCCCAATGACATGCATTGAAGGACTAGAGAGGAAGATCAATAAGCACCTCTGTAAGTGGTTGGGAATCCCTCCAAGCTTCACTGCAGTTGGCCTTTACATAAGAACAGGGCAGCTCCAACTTCCACTGTCATCTGTGGTGGCGGAATTCAAAGTTGTAAAGTGCAGAGTCGTAATGACATACAGAGACTCCCAGGATGAACAGACATGCAGGTGTCATCACAAGATCAGGACGCAAGTGGGCAGCTGACTCATCTGTTGCACAAGCTGAGAGCATGCTGAAGCTACGGGACATCATCGGAGTGCCGCCAACCACAGTGACAACAAGAACCAGTCTGCTACAAAAGGCCCAATCATGGGAAATGAAGGTCGACCTGGGAGGAAGGCTGCAGTTCCCCATGATTGTCCAGGAAACCCTGAGGCTGGATGTGGTACTATGGTCTGGAGAGGCAAAAAAGATCATCCTCATAGAACTTACGGTCCCATGGGAAGAGGGGTGTGAACAGGCCTTTGAAAGGAAGAGCGCCAAATACCAAGACCTTCTGCAGGACTGCAGGGGGAAGGGATGGCAGGCATGGCTGTTCCCCGTTGAGGTCGGCTGTAGAGGATTCCCTGCGCAGTCAGTATGGAGAATGCTCACAGCCATAGGGATGACAGAGAAGGACAGAAAGGCAGCAGCTCGCAGAATGGGGGAGGCGGCAGAAAGGGCCTCTTGCTGGTTATGAAGCAGGAGAGAGGAGGTAAGCTGGAAGCCAGGAGGGAAAGATGGGCAGTGACTTGGCCACCACTGCCGACCCACTATCAGGAGAGTGTTGTGGATAAGGGTCGAAACACCCAATGAGTACTGATTATATTATTTATTTTCAGCTCACCCAAAATAAGTTAGCTTTGGCTGAATAAGAAGTTTATAATTTGCTCAGTTTAGTTGTCTGTCCAATATCAGTTTGTGTGACATAACCGTAATGGATATTACATCCATATCTGATGTTGGTTGTATTAGGTGATTTTCACTGGGCCAATTTGATTTTATTTATCAATCCAAAAGTACAGCATTTCTTTCTAATTTAGATGTGATACTACAATTAGTCATTAATATAGTTTTACAGTGCATGAACTCTTTAAGCATGGATCGAAAATAAATACTATTTTGTATCTTTTTAGGTCTGTTACCACTGCTCTTATACTCCAGGCTAGTGTATACTTCATTGTCAAAATGTGTTTGTGAAAATGCTGATATTGAAATTCTCAGGGTGTTTACTCAGTTTGTTGACAGGTGAATTAAATGCTATTAGTTTGCTCTGCTAATTAAGTTGAAAGCTAAAATCTGTTTGAAATCAAGTTAGTTTCTCTAAAAGTCATTGAATATAAAGGGCTACATAGCAAACTGTCTTTCTTGCCTGCTGTGTCTCTATGTATGGTGGAGCATGATATCACTGGTTTCCTTCTGCTGTTATGAGAAGATTGATGTTATGAAGCCACCCTAATGAATAAAGCTTAAAATGGCCATCCTACATCTTTTTAAATTAAAATACTAATACTAAAATACTAATACACTAGGTTATTCTTTTTGGCAGCAACAACATTTTAATGGAGAATCAACTCATTTCTCATTGACAGAGAGCAAATGGAAGAATGTAGTTCAGATCTCCATGATAAAGTTGGTTTATCTTCCATACTGAAGGTATGCATTTATTGCTGATATATGTTTTCTTAAGTGTTGTGTGAAATGGCTTCTATTTTGTATAGCTATACAATCAAAAACTAATCACATTAAAGGAAAGACATTCAAAACTACAACTCACAAATGAAACTATGTTAAAAGTATGGTGCAATTAGCAATAATTAACTGTGGCTATTTATTTTAGTCACTAGAGGAAAATGCTGTAAGGTTCCTGAAGGATGAGCTGAAGAAGATCACAAGGTACCTAGATCAGAATTACCCAGAATGCTCTGAGCCTCAGGTGGAGGAGGGCAATGACCTGGACAGTGATGGTCAGATGCAGAAGGCCTGTGGTAGAGAAGGAGCTCTGAAGATCACACTGTACATCCTGAGGACCATGGAGCAAAATGATCTCGCTGACAGGCTGGAGACGAGTAAGGGCTGTATCTCATTCTATGTGTGTTTGTTTGACACAGAAAAATAGTGCAATAAACTTCAGTTTATCATTTAACTTCATTTGGTTTAGTTTTGCTTGTATGAGGAAAAAGTTTTTTGAAAAGTCTGTGCATTTTCTTCTCATTTCATTTCAGGGCATCTTCTGTTACAGTGTCAGCACAGAATCAAATGTACCCTGAAGAAAAAATGTGAGAGTGTATTTGAAGGGAAAGCTAAGGAAGGACAGTCAACACTTCTCAGTGAGATTTACACAGAACTCCACATAACTAAAGGTGGGACTGGAGGAGTCAATGATGAACATGAAGTGAGACAGATTGAAACAGCATCCAAGAAAAGGCTAACAGAAGATACTACAGTCAAGTGCAATGATATATTTAAACCCTTATGTGGGCGTGAGACACCTATCAGAACTGTACTCACTAAAGGGGTGGCAGGTATCGGGAAAACAGTCTCTGTGCAGAAATTTATTCTCGACTGGACAGAAGGAAAAGCAAACCAGGATGTTCACTTCATATTTGCTCTTCCTTTCCGGGACCTGAATTTGATTATGGATGAATACAGTCTGATTGAACTGCTTCACCACTTTGTCCCGGATCTAAAATCGGTTGAATCTGCTGTGCTGTTTAGGTTCAAAGTCTTGTTCATCTTTGATGGTCTAGATGAGTGTTGCCTTCCTCTAGATTTTCATAACAATGAGAGCTGGTTTGATGTGACAAAGAAAACGTCACTGGATGTGCTGTTGACTAACCTCATTAAGGGAAATCTGCTTCCAACTGCTTTCCTCTGGATCACCTCCCGGCCAGCAGCAGCCAATCAGATACCTCCTGAGTGTGTCCACCAGGTGACAGAGATACAAGGATTCAGTGATGCCCAGAAGGAGGAGTACTTCAGGAGGAGATTCAGTGACAAGAGCCTGGCCAGCAGGATTATCACACATGTGAAATCATCGAGGAGCCTCTTCATCATGTGCCACATACCTGTGTTCTGCTGGATTTCAGCCACTGTCCTTGAGAGGCTTTTTAGTGAAATTGACAGTGAAGAAATTCCAAGGACTCTGACTGAAATGTACACACACTTCCTGATCTTTCAGACAAGTTTAAAAAATGACAAGTACATGAAAAACAATGACATCAAGCGTAATATGTGCAGCAAGAAATTCCTTCTAAAACTTGGTAAACTGGCTTTTGACAACCTTGAGAAAGGCAATCTCATATTTTCTGAGCAGGATCTGGCAGGAAATGGCATTGATGTCACTGAAGCTTCAGTTTACTCTGGAGTGTGCACAGAAGTCTTTAAGGAGGAATATGGGTTGTATGAGGAGAAGGTGTACTGCTTTGTGCATCTGAGCATCCAGGAGTATCTCGCTGCTTTTTACGTGTTTCTGTCAAACTCATCACCTGACCTGCTGAAGACTGCAGTGGATAAGGCATTAGAGTACAAGAACGGACACTTTGACCTCTACCTCCGCTTTCTACTGGGCCTCTCAACAGACTCCAGTAAAACACTGTTACAAAGGTTGCTGGAACAGAGAAGAAAGAGATCACATGACATTAGGATAACAGCCCAATATATCAAGGGGAAAATACAGGAGAATTTATCTCCAGAAAGGACCATCAATCTGTTCCACTGTCTGAATGAACTCGGTGACAATTCTCTAGTAGAGGAAGTACAAAATTACCTGAATTCAGGACGTCTTTCAGCAGAAGACCTCTCACCTGCACAGTACTCAGCTCTGGCCTTTGTGTTACTGATGTCAGATGAGGAGCTGGATGTGTTTGATCTGAAGAAATTCATCAGATCAGACAAAGAGCATTGGAGGTTGCTGCCTGTGGTCCAGACATCTAGGAAAGCTCAGTAAGTAAGGATGTGAAAACATCTTGTTTGGCAGTAACACATTCACATGTTACGTTTAAAATATAGAAAATATACTCTATATTCCTCCTCGTAGATTAATAGCTGGGCTGAGACCCAGATTTTATAATAACTGGAGGTAGTGATGTAGTAAATAATAGTTGACAGTCTGTTACCATCCAGTATGCATCCTAACCTGCCATAGAAACCAAGAGGGCTCTTTATTGGGGAAGGGGGGTTATAAGTGAAATTATCCTTCATTTGCACAAGTACAGGTATATTGGAATGCTTCTCTTCTCACTCTCCATGAGAGACACAGACACATTTACTGGTGACACCAAGCTTAGGGTCACAGCATAGGGTCAGCTGACATCCAGCAGCCCTGGAGCTGGGGGTTAAGGGCCCAGAGACATGTGACTGTTCTGCTGAGTGTCTAACCAGCAATCTTCCAAACACAGGCACAGAAGTTTAGCCCTATGAGCCACACACCTGCCCCACAGACATGGTATGTGAGTATTACTGTCAGCAGGTGTGTCCATGCAATGGAGCCCAGAGCTGGGAGCTTCCAGAAGACTGCTGTCTCTGACTGCTCACTGACGCCCTCTGCTTCAAGATTCAAAGCATTTATTGTCATATGTACAGTAGAAAAGTGCATTTCTTTGTGCAATGAAATTCTTTCTTTGCTGTTCACACAAAATGCTGAGGTACAATATAATAGAAAAAATTGTAAATAAATACTTTGCAGTGTAATGTGCAAAAGAGCTTAATGTGAAAAAATTATAGTAAAGTAAAATCCTGTTATAGTGGACTCACTTATAACATAATATCATCTATAACAGATGAGGTTCGCTAGTCCTGACCGTGAGCCTTTACGAACATGTAGAAAAAGCATTGGATATAGCGGACTTGCATATAATGGAATTTCGCTTGTAATGGACAAACAATATGGTCCCCAGGGCCGCTTTTAGCTGTAGTTTTGTTCGGCTATAACGGACATGCAGCTCCGCCTACAAGGCACATGGTGTGCCGGTGATATCCAGCGCAGATACGTAGTCGGGATTATTAAGAGTCACGCATCTGGTCAGGTAAAGTTGGATTACTTCATGTACAATATAATAATCTATACCACAAGTGTGTCTGCTGGGGTGTGACATGAGTAAATGGTGTCCTGTAGTTGTGTTCTGGGCATACAGCAACTTTGGATATAACAGACTTTGGATATAATGGACTGTTTTGCCAGGTCCCTTGAAGTATATGGGATTTTACTGTATGAGGTAGTAGGGCTGGGCGATATCATACTGGTATTATATCACGCATGCGCAGTAATCACTAGTACTTCAGATGACATGCGCAACATTTGGCAGTGCGCCAGCTTTTCTGTGCTATACAGACATTTATTTACGCCCACAATTTAAGCAGCGTAGTATGGCTAAATTATTAATGAGGCTTTGTATCATTTGTTCTTCTCTTGTGATCTAAAAGCAATGAGGCTGCCACACACTGAAAAAAATCTACTGTAAAATAACAGTCGAAAGTCTGGCAGCAGGTGTGCTAGAGAAAACCTGTTAATGGTGAAAAACATTTTCACCAAATGTACATCAGCACTATTGGTCTTCAAGAGAATGGGCAAGTCCAGAAGCTGCAAAGAACAACAAACTTCATAGCCTGCATCAAAACAAGTATTAAAGATTTTCCCCCTAACTGCAATCTTTACAAAACCATCTTTTGTTGACAAACAACAAGATCCTATGAGAATCTACTGCTGTGCCCTATTCAACACCATCATGGTTAAAAGTTTAAACAAAGCCAGTACCCTGTCATGCTATGCAAATATACATCAGCACTATTGGTCAAATAAATTCGTTTTGTCATTCAAAGTAGGTCTAATAGGATTTTTTAAATTTCACGTAACGCTGTCAGTGAAATTTTATTTTATAGAGACGCAGCAGCAGCATCAACAGAAAAAAATTGAGGTATTTAAAACGTGGATGCTTAGCTTGTA